TAAAGACAAGTGATTAAGATGCCAGTTAACTCTACTAGAACGTCTCAGGAAAAACAACGAAACTGCTAACCATATTCCTACTATAGGAAGGTCCCACAGAGGACAGGGGATAAGACGCTTCAGATTAGCATTACCTCGACGGGCAGATTTCAAAAAAAAAAAACGATTTTTATGATTTAAGTTTGAGCAGAACTCGAAACTTCACAACCCTACCCATTGACGTAACATACAATGGGTTACTTATTAGCGCCCTGGAAGATCATGGGCAAAGCAATTTGAGGATAAAATACAGTCATTATATATGTTACTGCCCTGAAATCTACAAAGATAAGCAAACGGGCCCAAAAAAAGACAAAAACAAGCTGTGGTGCAAGCTAAACCTGAACCTTCTTAAATTGTATAAATTAGTGTAAATACCAAGTCAATATGCATTAATGATAAGTAGGACAACAAAAAGAACAACTAATTTGGTTCATATGATGTTTTCCTGCGAGATGTGCTCCCTTAATGATTAATCAATATGTTTTGGTAAGCCAACTCCATCCGCTGGGTTACAATGAGGTGTGGTGACCAAAAGGACGTTATTGAAATTAAATTTCAACATGATTCGCGTCCACAACGGAAACAGGTTTTGCTACAACGAAGTGATATCACTAATACTGAATTACCTTATTCCTCATGATTTTGTCGACATCCTCCGTTTTCTCTTTGGTCGCGTTGGCGAGCTCTCGAGCTTTTCTCAGAGCATCCCGGATTACACCGTTCAAGGGAAGTCCAGAATGAAGTGCACGAGCTTGTAGCAAGCTTGTGCTGCTTCGAACAACAGTAACACTTTTGAGACTCATCTTCAAATAAGAACATGAGATGAACTGCGCATTATCGCCAATTATCCAGATTAAAAGTGATTCGGTAACAATCAAATAATTGCGATCAGTACGACGAGAACACTAAAGAAAACAAATGTTGGACGTTGAGATGATCTGACTGCAGCAAAACAGAAGGAACCCGTT